TATCAAGTTTACCTATTTCAGTTGATATCCTATTTAAATGAAAGTGATTCTGTTCATTACGAATCTATAGCCAGAGTCTTACAATGGATTTTTCACGGATATTATTCCAGGTGGCCTTTTTCTTCTGTGCTAGATGGCACTTTCGACCTTGGTCCAATCGAAACTTCCATCAGGATTCGAGCCGTAGACGTACGAATAGGGTTGCAAATATGTTAGCTTTTAGGTTATACGACTCTGTCAAAAGCATGTTCTTTTTTTTTTGACTAAGCTTTCGAGACTATCGATAAATCAGATTTATATGATGCGTTCACCCAATAGGATGATGAATAACCGTTAGTTGAATTTTCCCACAATGTTATCACTCGTGGCAATTAGGCGTTGCGGTTAATTTGTTGAGATTGCATGCTACACTATCATGGCTCGAGTCCCGCTGTAGGTATTGACAAGAGGTCGAATCTGCAGTCCATCCTGGATAAGATTAACTTTTGAGAAAGAAAGGCTATGATAAATTCAATTGAATTGTATGATCTACTGATATCAATGTGGAAAAAATCAACTACCATTCTCCTTATCACCTTAAACTAAATAGAATGAACATATATCAGGATTATATTATACTAAAAACATCACTTTTAAAGCAAAATTGCCCTTATAGCAACACCCAAAGACACTCATGGCTTTTGGGGTGCTCGCAGCCCACGCACATGACTCGGTTTCTAATCCCTCTGAAGGTGCTGATAAGACCTGGATAATAAAACTTTTTTGGCAGGCAATGTTAAGTGCAAGTCAAGGGCTCCGTAAGGTTTATTCATTTCATTGTGAGAAATTCAATTATCAGCCCTTACATCAACTTGAGCAACTTATGTTGAATGATGATCTTTTTTAAGATATATTTACAAGGTATATTTTTATCGGGTGATTAAACATTTATTATGTCCATTTCCTCTCAACCTCTTCTGCTCCAATCCAAATGGCTTTTATATCTCTTTCCAGCAAGTGTATGTTTCTTTTACTTTACACTTTTTTTACACCCTGAAGTATTCTGCTTTGCATAGTGACTTTTAGAGACCTGAGAGTTAAGCGATTTATTGAATGATGATCGCTGCTTAAATTCTCTTGTTTGATCTCAACCTACAGTTTGCGGCTTCTCTTAATCGCAAAATGGACAATGACGTAATTTTATTCTCTTATAAGTGATAAAAAAGATACTTATAATTTCTCAGTGCTGCTAAAAATATTTAAGATCTTATTATCTTACAAAACAAGCTCTTCAACCTTCTGTCGGACTCAAAGAGCCTTCTGGATTTTGCATGAACAACAAGCCGATAAACACGTTAACTGGTAGTATAGATCAGAACTATGCTCAGTCAAAGTTTCAGGATGACGTGCAGACGCCCCTGAACGAAACGACTTACAAAACCCACTTTATGCCTTTCAAGTATGCAGACGGCGGCGACCGTCTTGCTGCTATCTCGGGAGATCCAAGTCGTGAAAATGGCTTTACTAGAGGCAACAGGGGACGACCTCAATATGAAGAAAACGCAGAGGTGGGTAAAACTAATCCATATCTTTGTTCAGTGCTTTAAAAGTTCGTTATAAGATGACGATATCATATTTCTTATCATATTTTGTGAGTAACTTTAACATCTTATGCGATTTATTTGATTGGATAGGCAGAAAGGCCTGCTGCATGGCAGTGAATAAGCTTAATTCTTCTATAAAGACTAAAAAGGATGCCTGCAACTCGATATTTTTTTCATTTACTAATGATAATATCTAAATCAAATAAGCTGTGGTTAACTTCGACTAAGTCTCTGCCTGGCATATATGCAAAATTTGATTTTTGCATGCCAACTGGTTAATATATCCTTTAACTAAAATACTTATTTTTTAATTGTTATACCAAGAGGGCTCTAATTATAGTAAACAGTAGTCCCCTCATCAGATTGGCTTGTCAAATTTTCCACGTTTTGCTTCTGCTTCTGTTTTGCGCCATTTCATTTCCATAATTAGTTCATATTTATCGGATCCATTATTCAGTGTAATTTGAGGATATTCCGGACAAATACTTATTTATGCATGCAGAATCACATAAATTTGATAAGTTGTGCTGATAATCAAATCAAAATGGATTAATAATAGTTAGGAAATTTTATTTAGTGCCAATTTATAACATTAATAATAGCCTCCATAACTAATTTATCAATTTAACTTAGAGAAATGTTTCTGATAATATCCAAGAATTATATTTTACCTCATATTTGGATTCAGTTCAAGCAAAATGTCGAGGATATTCCGAAGTTTAAACGGGATGAAGTCAAGAAAAACGACCCAGCTGACTATCAGAATTTTATTTATCCAAACAAATTTTCAACGTAAGTGGATTTTTCTACATCCAGCAACATAATTGACTTTCAAATCACATTTACATGGTTTTTAAAGTTATTACTCTAGACATCCCAGAACTTTAAAGAACGAAGTACACTTGTTATCATAGCCAATTGGCTAACACTATGCTCAGCCCTGGAAGCATCATAGAATTCATCCCTTTAATACACTTGTTGATTTGTCAGAATAACAGAAATTAATTAGTGGTACCTTCAATGCCCGCCACTTCAACACTGAGAGGGGGACTGCTTTAGCCTTTTCATCTTTGTCGTCTTAGTATCATCTTCATTCGTACAATTAAGAATGATCAATAGGCTTTTCTGAATGTTCCTTTTGACGGCAGGTTAGAGCGAGAAATCTTTACTAAACAATAGTTTTAGTATGATAATGTTTCTGACAGGAACTACTTGGTTGGATCCTTCTCAACTTCTTTTAGCCGAAATTATTAGATAAGGGCAGATGGTTTTAGTTAAAATAAATTTGTGGGGACGATGGCTAGCTCTGAAATTTAATGAATACGATTACCCAATTTACTTGAAGTTGGGGAAATTTGTGACTATGGCTAGAAAATCTATTTCCTTTTAATTTATATTCAAAGGGATAATTATGACACGATTAAATAAGTCCGGTAATCATTTTATCATTTTTTGACAAATGAAATTTCGCTGCTGCGAAAGACCAGGATCTCCAACCATTTGACCAAATAAGATTTGCTTACACAGCTTTTTTCATGTTTCAAGTCATGCTTATTATGAAACTTAACATGAATAGGGTTGTTATGCCTCTTTTGTCTCGTAACCTAAACTAATGAAGCCTGATGAAACGGAAGTCTACCCTGGAGGAAAATGGTCTGCTTGGATAATGAGCTCAGTGATATTCAATGAAAGATTCGATCCATTGCGTTGCCTGCTATCTGTAATGTAAATTCATTTGAATGTATTAACTTATTTTTATTTCTTATTAATACTAATAGTATTTTAGTAAAATTTTCTATACTTCAATTAGCTTACATAAATTTTTTCCCGAAAATTCAAGCATATATCAACATTTCTATCAAACGCCATCGCATGTCGCCAGCCCAGGACAAAGTCACCTTGGACGGAAGGAACCGACCGGATTTAGCAGTAACCAGGTTGACTTAAGCGACCCACCTGGTGCACTGCCCGATGGATATATCACTATGTATATGCACAAGGTGAGTTAGTCCACAAAATTTGTTTTTACTCCTCTAGAACATTCTCCAGGAAGCTAAAGCTTCCAGACTCGGAGCACTTTTGGTAAACTAACTATCTACTGTGTGCAATCAAAATAATGATACTACTATTACTGCTATTATCATTATTATTATTGCA